CCAAGCTTAATCACAGGCTACGAACTTTGATAAAAGGTTGACATAATGTTGCAAATATTTATACTCTTTGAGTTCATTTTTTAAATTACATGTTGCGAAGAAAAAGTTCATCACATAAAAATTTTAAAACCTTTAGTTTAAGTTATAGTTCTAATTTTAGTATACGTATGTAATTGGTAAATTCATCCAAATAGGCGGAATTCGCGCGTCATCGGGTCGCATTGAATGTAACTTTCGACGCGTACATCTCCCCATCAATAATCATTCGCGATACAATGTTCAGTCTAACGGTCGACGTAAACGCTTCACTTCTGACTGAATTACCACTCAATTGACACCTATTTTCTATTTAAACGTTATTTGTATCAATGGTTTGAAACACTACAAATAATTTATACCTGTTGCTGGTCGCGACTTCGTCGGCGTGAATTTAGAAGTAGTAAAATAAAAATGTTACTCACTGATAGTGTAGCTATGTAATGGTGAAAGAATTTTGAAATCGGCTCAGTAGTTTTTAAGTTATTTCAATACGTACAAAAATACAAATCTTTCCTCTTTATAATGTTAGTACCAGACGTCTAAATCAAAAATATTGAATAAGAGATATCAAAAAAAGACATTAGTAAAAGCAACGTCTCGGCAGAATGGACAGCCACGACAATTATTCAGAGATTTTAGTGATTCAATATGCATTGATTCAGTTTCCGTCTGAACAATTTCCTAGTTTTTCCGTTATATTCGTGGAACGAATCTATTCTGCGCTTACGTTTTCTGCGGGATTAAAGTATTGGTGAATAAATTTTATAAACTGTTTTATAGAACTTGTCACAACTACGAGTACTACACGCAATTAGCTTTAAATCCAATCTAATTACGCTAAATGAAGACTAGGAGATTGTCGTAGTAACTTTTTTAAATTGTTAGTATTAAAGAACTATAAATAAATTCGAGTTAAAACGGTAAAGCATAATGGAGTTAATAGCGTTACTGTTTGCTTTGCTCCGACATTTCATATTTAAAAGGCCTTCAGTGTTTGAATAGATCAATACAAACACAAAGCCAATAACGTTTAATGTTGTTTATCGAAAAGCGCAACTTAAATAAACCAAACATTAACTTGAATTTGAATTTCTGACGGCGGTCGTTAAATTCACTCGGACGGACGGAGCCGGCCTGTCATCGATTTACGCTAATTGAACGTAACTTTTCACGCGTGGACATCGCCCACCGATATACATTCACGTATCGGTAACGTTCTGGAATAACATATTTGACGTGCTTTTATATTTTATATCTATTCTGCTTATTGGAAAATATTTTTTTCTTATATTACAAGATAGCAAAAGAGCCAGCGGCCACCTGAATCCTCAAAAATGGCGAAGCGACCGCAGCCCATAGACATCCGCAATTGCAGATACGTTTCCTATCCTTAATATAAGCAGGAGAACATGGACATAAAGAGGATTTTCCCCTTCTTATGCGTCTCCTCAATCATCAAATCCACTGCCCCTTCCCATCTTTTCCTCTTAAGAAAAAGGTGGAAAGAAATAGAACTAAAATTAGGCCTCCAGCGCCACACTCATCAGACGAAACGCGGAAATGCTTCCAATTCACGCCTGTCTTCTGTTGTGGTCGTGGTATTTCACCGCGTGAGCCGACCCATTCGTGCGAAGATTAGTATTATAATTGTGAAGTCATTTTAATACGACTTTGTTAGAATTCGAAATCGACCAAAATCGATGACCAAAGAGACTGATATTATAATAATGTTAAATTTTATAGAATGGGTTTTAATACCCGTATTATTTTGTGCGTCAAAACAGTATAATTTTCATATTAAAAGCAGGTTACAACATTATAAACTTAGGCTGTATTATGTTTAAAAATTTAACGACTCGAAATTCCACAAGCTCATTACAAGACGTCGTATATTTTCCGCAGCTGTCGGGATATACTTTGAAGCGGGATTTTTGCCATCACAATGACGTAATAAGTACTAAGCTAATGCTTAACACATTCTTACGATCCTAAAAATGATATAATAAATAAAAAATTATAACAGACTTATTAAACAGAGATATATTTTTCTAGTAAAAATAAAATCGAAACATGTTGGCTTCCAATGAAAATCCTTCCAATAATGGAAGGGTTTGAAAAACGTCTCGTTATCATGATAAAGGGATGAATCCCTTTCTTTTATTACTACTCGATTCGCGATTTCTAAGCATTCGCCGTTTGTTGTCCTTTCAAATACGATGACAGGATGAACTAAAAAAAACATATTAGGCTGAATTTTAATGAGACTTCTAAAATATCAATTGAGTTTAACTCTTTGCTCAGGTTATTTACATGATTACTTATAATTTTATTTGCAACTAGCTTTCGCCCGCGACTCTGTCCGGGTGGACTCTACATCTATGTCAAATTTGAACGTGACATCATCACCTTTCATCATCATCATTTTATCAACATTAATCCATCCATCTACACTTTCGCATTTGTACTGTGAGTAAGATATTGTGTTTATTAAAGAATTTTGTGGTATAATTGGATTATCATAATTAAATTCACTAGAACTATGTGAATAACAACAGAATTGTTTTCTATTTTAATTAACGCAGACCGAAATAGTATAAATTATTAGCTATTCTTGGCGCTTCAGCTCAGTTTCTATTAATAAATAAATTATATTTCATTGATATAACATTCATTGTTGTATTTTTTACATTAGGATTATTCTTTATAACAGGCTAGCAGTATTTTATTCTTGCTTTAAGTGTAATTTAACAAAGATTTCTTAATGAATTTCGACCATTAATCGCCGCCGTCTCTCTGCGTTGGCTGAATCGAGCATTGAGTACGATTTATCTTACCGCCGCAACTTGCCGTCCGGCCGGCCTTTTAAATACCAGCCTAATCCGTTTTTTATTGCATCATGATACAAATTTAAACTGCTTTTTATGAAATGACCACTAGGTACTAATTAAATGGATACATCGAGACAATGTCTTAAACTAGGCTTAGGACGACGACATAGCTATAACGGATTTAGGACCATTCAACTAATAGTCGGTTTCCCAGCTACGTCTAACTATCTCTTAGTATTTTTGGTTCGATAAGTCAATAAAATGTGTTTCCGCATTACGTAAGTTGAGTTTAATGTACGTTAAAGGTCAACTTATTTTGTCATTAACTAACGAATTGCTAGGTAATCTATACTATTATAATAAAGCGTAAACACACACTTCTTTGTTGCCTACGATGACAGCAATTACAGCATATTTTTGTATAATTCGTTTTTTAATAAAAAGCCCTACACATACGTCACGCTTTAGGCTATATAATTTCACGCTACTAAACTTAAGGGGTAAATATTTTGACACATGTAAACAACAAATTATTGCATAAATGATAATCTAGGATGCGAAATAATAATAGAAAATTATATTTTAATATCGCTATTTTCGCAAAATGACTCCTACGCTCCCAGACACGCGCACGTAATGAGGTTAGTACTGTTACGGCGTAGCACTCGGCACTACGCATGTCACTTTCAATTGTTTATTTTTAAATTACTCAATGTTGCGCTCACACCTTTTTTCATTTATGTTAGGTATTTTTAATTACACGCAGTCTTCTTTTTGTTATTTTAAATGATATCTATTTTCTAATAAAACACCGTAGTGTCATTGTCGAGTTTTCATTAAAGTAAAGAGTTTGAATGAACGTAAGTTAGTTTTTTTCAGTATACGTCTGAAGACCGAAGATATTTTTGAGGTAGGTTTTCCTTAATAGAAATATAAGTGTAAATAAGTGTTTTTGTCATTTGGCAGTTATCACCTGCCGCCAGCCGCTGCCGGTATGTAAGACTAAGCCCAGCTTGGGGCGCGTTATTTCATAAAGTAAATATTTATGAGGGAAAGGAGTTTTTCGCGCGCGTCCTACGGTAAGCCGCCTGATCCGAAAAGACATAAACCTCTGGGGATCCAGTTCTCAGTTCACAAAGGCAACGTTTTCTACATTTTTTCGCAAATAAGTAAATGTATCTGTTTTTTCACCACTTTGTTATTTTAATATTAAGTTTAAAGAGGAGAGAAATGTCAAATATTTTACATTTAAAGAGTAAGTGGAAATGTTAAATTGTTAACGTCATTAATGTTAATTAATTTGAATAAATTAATTCATATTTGAGTTAAAATTCATGTCTTTAGTAAATGAAATGTATTACGACCTCATATGTTTACCTGCGTCTATGGATTTATTCACGTACGTAATATGTGGAAATTTGAAATATCTTAATATTCTTGTACGTACATGTACAAAAAGTCGCGTGTATTAATATGTCGTGTTACGGTAGTACATTCGGGTGTTATATTGTAACCCTTTGATAAATAAAAACACGTGTTCGTGTTTCTACGTAACGTATTTCATTGTGTTTTACGAATGTCTATTTTATTGTGATTCTGAAAATATCTGCTCCTTTGAGCAAATAAAACTGTTTCCTTCAATTGAAAATAGCCTTCGTAGAGAAAGATGAGTAAGATTTTTTATTTTCATTTCCTTAAGCTTCATTTATAATCAGCAGAATATTTTTGTTTTTTCACTTCGCGATGCCGCGTCTAGTGAATGAACGTTTGAGAGATGTAAAGAGAAAAACAGGTGAAAAACTGAGGTGGCGTGGGTGAGGTTTATGTAAATTTTACGTGAATTTTTTTAACTTACCGAGTCTCTAATATTGTTAGCAAACAACAACTTTCACACAGAAGGCATTTTATAAATGAAATAATGTAAAAGTTTTTCAACGCTGAGGTTGTAATAATAATATTTTTTTTTAATGGAATGATCCAGAAGAGCTGTGGTACTACAAGACTAGATAGAATGAGATTCGATTTATGTATCATTAAAGTGAATTTTGTAAGGCTGTATAAGAGAGAACTAGACGTGAATACTGAGTATTTTTGTTTTAGTGTATTAGTGGCAGTAATGTGACGATAGCTTACCGTGCTTGCCGCTGGTGACAGCCGCGAGGGCGGTGCTAAGTAGTAGGAGTTGTGCAAGCATGCTGCCCCGCGCGACGCCGCCCTCGGCCACACATTGAGACGCAATCCTTGATACTGCCACTGCTGTAACAACACAACTTCCTTAATATTACTAAATTAATTATCACAGTAACGCTACTGATTAGAAAACTAATACGCGCAGTTTGGAAGCGGTTTGTAAGTATTCACGAGAGCTGCGGATTTGGTGTATTCGGCAGATCTGGATGCACTAACTGCAGGTTTAGGCTTCATTGATACTGAGACATGATGTATTATACTTTGTGTGTATCCTTTTGTATTATCCCTTTTTTTAGCAAAGATTATAATGATAATTGAAATAATGAAAGTTAATGAGATAATTTTCTCAATAAACCTGTAACGGCATTCTAAACCCACATTACGATATGTAATGGTTGAGTGGAAAGGTTTAGATTTGCATATATGTGTATGTAGTTTGTTTTTTGGTTTCCTAGAATGTAAAGTTTCTTTGGTCATTCAATATTGTATCCGAGAAATATTTCTTAGATCCTAAGATACAAAAATGAGTACAAACATTTTCACCTTTTGCTTCACTAATAAACTATTAATTTCGTGAGCCTTATTAATAACGGCACGTGTAATTTATTAGAGAAATTATTTTCAATTAATAGTGTCACCAAAAGTATTCCACTAACTCAGTGTAACTTAAAAAACAAATTAAACACTATATACTCGTAAGTACGATAAACCGAATATAAAATAAAACACGTGATAACGTTTGCATCCTCGTATGAAGATTCATAATGATAATATAGCAAAACATTTTTCAGTGGCTTTTAAATAAGTCTCGAGTTCACAAGTAGGGCAGCTGCTATCGTATGCAGTGAGCCATACATTATGATCCTAATTTACCGTATCAACGAGGTAACATTCACTCCCAAGTATAATTTATTTACTAATGAAGTCTTCCGAGTCTGTTGATTCCTTATATTACAAATTTGAAATTTACAACGTTAATATAAGGAAGGAATATTAACGCGGATGAGTGGATTTTAATCTCCCTTTTTTGTGTAACACACCGAGAGCTAAATAAATATATTCAGCAGTTGTAAAATAATAATAGTGAACCGGTTTGATGCAGTTTCATAGCATTGTATGTATTTTAGTCGAGTATTAGTTATATGATAAGCTTAGACTAAAATACAACTGCTACTGAGATAAAGTATAAATATATGGTTAATAGTAACATTAAGATTAGAGGTTATGTTAAATTTATTTGTTGTCTTATTAAAATTCATCTCAGAAATTTTCAAGGACTGAATATAATAAGCGTTAATTTCCAACTCTCAAAACACCCCTTTAAAGATATAAAACAGTATCCGAGCAAAACGCGAAACAAGGATCTATCAGAGTTCGTTGCAAAATAAAACATAATTCCTCCGAGAAAACCGGGAGCGGTTTGAATAACAACTCTTTAATTGAAAGTTTAGCAATTTGCTCTTCCCTCCCAAATGGACCCGACGGCGTGCGGGCCAACTCTCATCCACCGCGCTTCAAAATTGAACGTAGGCAGATGCTCTTAATTACCGGACCAGATGCCGACTCGCCCCGCCTCTGCCGAGATGAACCTACACCTCGCACCCACCGACAATATCTTCAAGCTAAGACTTGCTTAAACGACTTTTTTAAAACCCATGCTTGCCACTGCTGCCGCTAATAGCAACTGTAAAACGAAATTAATAGATGAATTACCCTTTTAAAAAAGGAATGGATAATCTAAGTAACATTAGTGTCTATTTTTATTATGGAAGTGTAAAAAAAGTGTAAAATTTACATTTTTTTATAAGAGATGGGGCAATCCTGCGGCATTTTATTTTTACTCTTTGCTAGTTGAATCCTAACGAAAAGTATGAAGTTCAAACACAGTCTAATGTGATAAGGGTTTCTCCTAATCTTGTTATAATTTATGTGAAATTTCCAATAGAAATTCACAACGAGCTCACGTGCTAATTAGATCGTAGCCATAAATCTATGCGTATCTGTGCAAATCTCACATAAATAGGAGCGAACAAATCCCTTGTAATAAATACCGCAACACCTCAGCAGCAGGGCCGCGGCGACGGACCGGTCCGAATTATGTCACGTAAACATGTCACCGTTGAAATATTCACCAACATCGAATATAATTTTCCCTTACAATTCCGCTCACGTAAATCTCTTTTTACCTACTTAATTTCTTTTGCATAGGTAAGCGTCTAACCTTTTTATGTTACAAATGTAGATTTTAGTTATTCCCGGCATTTTTTTGAATATTGGATTACCGCTAAATTTTATTCTTATTATGTCCTCAGGATATTCAATTTCAGTATAATTATATTTTTAATTAATTTTTCAATCGTATGAATTAAATACAAGTCATTTGATATCGGATACTGCTGGTATGTTGTGGTATTACTAAAAAAAATTACCCGATTGTCTGTAATTATCATATCAAATCGACATTCAAAACAATCATAGTGTAGAAAAAACCTGAAGTAAAACTGCACACATACATTGCCTAGTAACTTAAAAAATCTCCCTGTCAGTTGAAATATTTTGTAAGTGTAGCGGTAAAACATATTCAATATTCTTCATAGCGTTACACTAAGTACCCTTCATTTTGAGATATGAGACGTATTCAAATGGGGAGATAGCTCAATATAAAGACGTCGTTACGGAGGACAGACAGAAGGGCCCTACGTGTGGTGCGACATGAGTGAATCTGACGCCCCTTTTTATTTTATCTAACTGCAAGGGCGGTCGAGTTTATGTTCCTCGCCCTTCTTGATACCGTTTTGATAGCGGAAGGGAACAGCTTTCAGATAAATGATTTCCAAGTACGTTTACTGGAAGCTGCTAAGTGATTTTAGTTTCAGATTTGCAACTATGTTTTAAAGCTCCCCAAAGCCCCGTCGTCGGTTTTAATGCACCATTGTAAGGGATGTAATGAAATGGGTTTTCGCCAGTAAGGGTCCTTAAGTGGATTAGATATTATTGCACCAGCTGGGATAAGAGTACGTTTATAGCAAGTTTGTTACTCATCTCTATTTCAAGTATTATTGACGACCGGTACATTTTATATAAGTAATATTATAATGCAATTTTGTAAGATTACTAGTACCATTTTTTATTAAAATACTAACGAATTGAAAGCCAATGAAATGCTAATACGTAATAAATCTACACGAAATATCTTGAGGATAAAATTGGCATCACACTATGTAATTCAACATATACGACATATGTAACATTAGACAACTTTGAATCTGTACCAATTTCTAAATCATTTGTAGTATGAGTAACAATTGCAATGATCAAGTCGTGAGCAGAATTTGTGCCAACAGCGAAATGTGTTAATGCTCAGTTCTAATCAAAGAGTCGTTAGCCGCGGGCTCGGCAGTCGATTACGACTATTAGGGGATACAATGGGAACTACACGACACTTCCTCGAGATAAGGACACAACCGATTGCCAAACACCAAATGTACAACATTATGGTGTCTTGATAAATCTTTATCTAATTAAAGAAATAGTCAATGAACTCTAGACATGACACACTGTTTATTTATTTTTTTAAACAGACAAATACTTGGTATAGTAAAAAGAATATTTACGCAAATAATTATTTATAAAAGACGCCACCTTTAATGTAATATCGAAAATAAAATTACACGATATTACACGGAATGTAGTCAAATGATTTTGTTATGAGCATTCATAAAATAGAATAGTTCCACACAATTAGTTGCTCAGACTACATTAGCAGATAGCTACATGTGTTTCGTCGTCAACAATTAATCTTCATTAATGGCCGCGCTATGTGCGACTCGCCGAAGTCATGAGATAACGTTGATCCATAACACTACACTATTCCTATTTTACTGCTTCATTTTCATCTTGTTTGAGAAATATATCTATACTAATATTATAAAGTGTAAAGATTTGTATTTCTATATGTATTTCACATAAAAACTTCTTCTTCTTCTTCTGAGGCACTACAGCCGCGTGTGGGCCTGGTCCAGTAAACTTCTCCACTTCTGTCTATTTTGGGCCTTTTGCTTCCAGCCCTTGACGCCGATGTTCTTAAGATCGCGTTCGACTTCGTCTAGCCATCTAAGTTTCGGCCTACCACGCGCTCTACGTCCATCCGGCTTATTTTCCAACAGGCGTTTAGGAACTCTGCAATAATCCATGCGGGCAACATGTCCTGCCCAGCGCAGTCGTCCAATTTTGATGACATTGTTGATGTTTGGCTCTTTATACATTTGGTACAGCTCGTGGTTGTATCGTGATCGCCATTGATCACCAATGAGAACAGCACCATAAATGCGACGCAGTATCTTACGCTCAAACACTTGTAAGCGTTCCTCATCTTTCTTACTTAAAACCCAGCATTCTGAACCGTATGTCAAAATTGGCCTCAACAGGGTTTTATACAGGAGAATTTTTATGTTTCTAGAAAGTATTTTAGAGCTAAAATACCTCACTAGACCAAAGAAACATTTGTTGGCAGCGGTTATTCTCCTGCTGATCTCCGAAGACATGTCGTTGGTATTAGTTATAAGAGATCCTAAATATACGAAGTCGTTGACTGTGGAGAAGGTGTGGAGAAGGTGTTCACGTAAAAACTACTGGATTTTAAAAATAATCTTCCATTAGTAAGGTATTTTATCTGTGAGTAACAAAAGCTATATTTTTAAATTTCACGCAGATAAAGTCGCGAGCAACAGCTAGTGTATATATACTTTAACATATTTAAAGAGTATATTCATTATATAAAAAGTTATTCATCAGTCTTATTAATTAGGACAGAGCAGTTTTTTGATGTGCTAAAATAAACATGAATGGTATGTGATGTGGTCGAACATTAAAATACCCATAAAATGATGAGTCTCATAAAATTAAATTGATAGTTCTATCTTGAGTGTTGGTGGCTCAGGAGTTAAGTACATGACTTGTATTTGTAGCTTCTTGGTTCAAATCCCACCATGAATTTTTGTTTATATATCATAAGGTGGCAAACAAGCAAGCGGCCACCTGAATCCGCCAAAATGGCTAAGCGACCG